ATTCCTAAACCTGGTAAAGATCCTACGAATCCTACTTATTACCGCCCTATTGCATTAACCAGCTGCATTTGTAAAACCATGGAACGAATGATCAATCGAAGGCTCGTTTGGCACCTTGAGTCAAACAATCTTCTTACCAACCTCCAATGTGGATTTCGGTCCCAAAGGAGCACTCTTGATCATCTCGTTAGATTTGAATCGTTTGTCAGGGATGCCTTCATCCAAAATAAACATCTTGTAGCCATATTCTTTGATTTGGAGAAGACTTATGACACCACTTGGAGATATGGCATTCTTCGTGATCTCTTTGACTTCGGTCTCAGAGGAAGATTGCCATTATTCATCTTCAATTTCCTACATGATAGGACGTTTAAGGTTCAACTTGGCTTCATTTCTTCAGATCCTTTTCCTCGGGATAATGGAGTTCCACAGGGTAGCCTATTATCCGTTACCCTGTTCTCTATTAAAATTAATTCCATCACGTCGTGCCTTAGACGGGGGGTTGATGGCTCTCTGTATGTTGATGACTTTCAGATGTGTTATGGCTCTACAAACATGCAGACGATTGAGCGTCAGTTGCAGCTTTGCTTAAACAACTTACAATGGATTTAGGTTTTCGAAATCCATGACCGTCTGCATGCATTTCTGTAAACGAAGAGGATTGCACCTAGATCAAGAACTAAAGCTGGATGGTGCTGTCATTCCTGTTGTGCGGGAATTTAAATTTTTGGGACTCACTTTTGACAGCAAGCTTTCTTTTCGTCCCCATATTAAAATCCTCAAGAACAAATGTCTGAAAGCGCTCAACATACTGAGAGTCTTATCCAATACTGACTGGGGAGCCGACCGAAAGGTCCTCCTCCGATTGTATCGAGCTTTGGTTCGTTCCAAGCTTGACTATGGGTGTCAGGTGTATGGATCAGCTCGTCCATCCTATATCAAAGAGCTTGATACCATACACCATCAAGGACTTAGAATCAGTTTAGGTGCATTTCGCACTACTCCAGTTGAAAGTCTGTACGTCGAGGCTAATGAGCCCTCATTGTACGACAGACGTGACAGGCTTTCATTGCAGTACGCTATCAAGATAGCATCATTGCCACAACATCCTGCTTACTGCCCCGTATTTAGACCTTACTTTGAACACCTGTACGAGGCAAAGCCTCGTGCTGTTTCTTCTTTTGGAGTCCGCATTCAACCAACCCCTTATGTCAGCGGCTGGTATAAGCCACGACAGTATTGCGGACTTCGTAATGACCACCGTGGTCGATTGCTCCATTTCAGATAGACTTCAGTCTATCGAGCAATAAGAAAACTCAGACAAGCTCTATAGTGTTTCAATTTAAATTTCTATCTGTAGCTTTACCATCAGCAGCCTCCATTTTCACAGCAGAACTCATTGCCATTCTAAAGGCGCTTGAGTTCTTTCAGTCCTCTACATCATTAAAAAAATGTATTATATTTTCTGATTCTTTGTCCTCATTACAAGCTATTTATAACATCCAGCTTGTACACCCAATAATCGGGGATATATACAAGCACTCTGGGCCGAAAAAGGACAATGTCCTTTGTTGGCTCCCCAGTCACATGAATATACGGGGGAATGACATGGCAGATGCGGCGGCTAAGGCTGCTTTGTCACTGCCTGTTTCCCCCTTTTCTTTGCCTTTCTCCGATTTTAAATCGGTGATAAGGTCTTTTATTCAACATCGATGGCAGCAAAGATGGGATGCTGCAGACACTAATAAGCTTCGTGCCATTAAGCCTCTCCTAGGAGACTGGCCCTCCTCCTATTGTGCCAACAGGAGAAATGAAGTTGTTTTGTGTCGCTCTCGTCTTGGACATACTCACCTCACCAACCGTTATCTGCTCAAGCGAGAGCCTCAACCAGTCTGTGAGCACTGCCAGGTCCGCCTGACAGTGAAACACATTCTGATTGAGTGCAAGCATCTCAAACCTTTAAGATCCCAGCACTGCTGTGCTGGATATTTACATCAATTATTTGCGCAACCTTCTCTTTATGAAAAGGTTGTGGCTTTTTTAAAACAAGCAGGTCTTTATTTTAAATTTTAAATAGATTAGTCATTGTTTGTTTTAAATATTTTGATTATTTTTAATACCACCATGTGGTGTATTACCTGTGATATTGTTTTTAGTGTTTTTTTGTTGTCATTAAATGACTTTTTCTGTGATATGGTTTTTATCGTCTTTTTTTGTTGTCACTTTTTTTGTTGACCTTTCTGTGATATTGATAGGTGTTTTAGTTTTTTATTATATTAACGTATTCTGGAGCTATTTAGCCCGTTTGGTGCTGATGCTCCTTAATGCATTTTATTTCATTTCATTTGACAATTATATAAAATTCTACACTTTAATCCTTAACTTTCCATAGGTATCGGTTCTTATTTATTCTCCATGTAGTTGTGTGTGTTCACTCGCCGCCATCTTGGAATTGTAATAACTGTGGTTTTATTCATACCAAGGATTTATTCAGAAGTAACGACGGTAAGCAAAAACAATATTTTTATACGGATGGTATACATTGAGACAGAAAGGGTTCTGCACATCTGTCCAGACTATTCAAACCATATGAGAAGGTTGTCTCTTTTTTAAAACAAGTCAAGTTTTATTTTAAATTTTGAATGTATATTTTGTTCATGGTTTTGTATAAGTTATTGTTGTTTAGATTTGTTGTTATGTTTTAATGCCCTTTGTGGGTTATTACTGTGATTCTGTTTTTATCCTTGTTTGTTCTCACCCCATTGATGTTTGTCTGTGATATTGTTTTCATTTTCTTGCATCCTTGTATTTTTACCTATTGTGTTAATACCTTTTAGCTTTCATTCAGATGCTTTATTTGTATCGTATTCAGGTGCTATAGAGTCCGTTTAGGTGCTGATGCACCTTAATACATTTCATTTTAAATTAATTAATTTGTTGGTCAAATCTAAGGTCTAAAAGGTACGGCTCACAGGCACAACATCTACCAGATTTAGTATGATTTTGTTTTTATCATTGTTGCTTGTCACCTTTAGGGTGTTTTCAGTGATTATTATACGCCCACACGTAAGATGGGCGTATATTGTAATCACCCCGTCGGTCCGTCCGTCCGTTCACATTTGGCTCGTGCTCACTCTACAGGCTACAGTTCTTTATGGATTCTTTTGTTTTTTATTTTGTATGTCAATGTTGTTATGAAGATGATCCCTATTGATTTTCGTGATGATCGGATAATTTTTCACCGAAATATCGTGTCTGACCTGACGTCTTACTCTATTAGCTATATTGTGCAACTCGTGCTCACTCTACAGGCTACAATTGTTTACAGGTTCTTTTGATTTTTATTTTGTATGTCAATGTCATTATGAAGATGATCCCTATCGATTTTCGCGATGATCGGATAATATTTCACCGAAATGTCGTGTCTGACTTGACGTTTCACTCTATTAGCTATATTGTGCAAACCTGTAGTCACTAAAGACTGTTTAATCATTTCTGACAGCTGCCAGTGGGCGTATGTTACCTTGCCTGGCAAGCTATCTTTTCTGTCTATTTATTTTATTTTAATCTATAAGTTAATACCTTTTTGGTTCATTTCATTTCATTCGAGCTTTATCAGTTACTATACACGGCATAGTGTCTGAGGACCGGATCGGGCTCAACACTCAAGAAAACTAAAATTTTCGGATATTATCTATGACTGTTTTATTTTATTTTATTTTTGTCATTAATCAGGTTTCTTGTCATATTATGAGAAAGAATACATCAATGACAAACTCAACCTAGTATCTGCATGGCAATATTTCGATTCGAAAAGTGACAGGTAATTTCTATCATCTATCGGATCGTATTACATTAAAGAAATTATTTTTTGTTTTTATTTGTGTATAAATATTATATGTTAATATTTAATCAATCCAGCTTTTTCATTTATTACATTAAAATGCTAACTTTATCAGAAGGTTGTGACTTTTTTTTAAACCAAGCAGGTCTTTATTTTAAATTTTAAATAGATAAGTCATCGTTTGTTTTAAATATTTTGTTTGTTTTAATACCACCATGTGGTGTATTACCTGTGATACTGTTTTTAGTGTTTTTTGTCGTCATTAAATGACTTTTCTGTGATATGGTTTTTATCGTCATTTTTGTTGTCACTATGTGACCTTTATGTGATATTGATAGGTGTTTTATTGTTTTAGTTTTTTTTATTATTTTATCGTATTCTGGAGCTATATAGCCCGTTTGGTGCTGATGCTCCTTAATGCATTTCATTTCATTTCATTTTCATTTATTACATTAAAATGCTAAATTGACGAGTTGACATGCAACTAAAATCACCAACAAAAGTTTTGATAATTCCATTATCGAGTCTATTTTCAGATATTCAACTTTCCTATTTGTCAGAATCCTTTTTTTCATGGCTCTAGATTTCACAGATTTACCCACCCTACCGTCTATTTCAATAACAACATATAATGAGGGTTGAAGGATTGGTACAACTTTTGTTTTAAGTTTTTTTTATCATTATATCGAAGAAAATGTATTTCATATATGTTTTACAAAAAATGAATATTAGGTATATTCTTTTCCACGGCACACATGTAGAGTGTGAATTGGCATGAGATGTTCTACGAACAAAAGGACACATGTCACCACTTGAATTAAATGGATGTATAACAAATTTATAGTTCAAGACTTCAAAAGGACATTCATAACTCTATGACTTTTACGATGACCGATAAATTACAGTTACAATGAAAAAAATAACCATAATAAATCGTTGTTATAAAACAAAGGCGACGACGCACACACATTTAACAATATTGGCATCGCATTGTCCCACTTCCAAGATTCTTTGTTCTCTTTGGCACCATTTTTTTCAAGTGCTTCGTTCATCGTCATTCCTTAGTTCTATTTATTAATGATTTCCATTGTTCCCAAATTACTTGCTTAACTAATTATATTGTTCTCGTTCTATTTACAAAGTACCCGTCTTACTACTAAGGTTGTGTTGAATCTATTACAACACCATCAGAACATACAGGTTGAGAGGGTTGTATAGCTGCGTTATAGGCTACAACTGTGATATAATACTGTCCATCTGTAGGTGCTACCCAGGTAGCATGGGTTACTGATGATTCATGTATATCCTGAAAAATAAATACTCATAGTTAATGTAAAATCATCACAAGGTTTAAGTTTGGTTCCCTTTAATAAACATTGAAATGATATTAAATACTCCACACTTCTATCGATTTCGTGACCAATGTTTTTTTTATATATATATTTTATTTATTTTACCTTAATGTTATAATTAGTAAAAAGAATGACGAAAGCAATTCGAAATGCATTTGAATCTATTCGGCATGCTGTCATGATTTCAAACCGAATGTGTAGTTTTTGTTAGTAACAAAGATAAATTAGTAATATGATATATTTTTAAAATCGTACTGGAGTGTTCTGGATTTCAAAATGAAAGTCTTCAGCAGTTAAACATCCAGTAGAAAAACCATAGTGATAATATCTCACACCACTTTCTTTATCAGAAAATCCTTCCCAATGTGCCTGTAGAATTCTGTCTGGTTGGTAATCTACTTCCGGTTCATCATATCTACCATCATGTACAACACCAACATGTGGTGGACTTGTATCAATGGTGATCTGAAAAGATAAAAGCAGATATGTGACAATTTCAAAATTATGATCACGTGGTAAATATAATCGGTGGGCTTGCTTCTTTCTGTTTTAGATTTTTTATTACGTTCCTGTTAATGATTTATATATTTATATTGCAATATTTATATTATACGGCGGGGCCTAGAGGGAGGCCGGCGGTTTTTTTCGATCATTTTTAGATAGTGAAACAGTGGTCTGTGTCCCCCTGAAAAATTGTGTGGCCCCTGCTCGGCCCACTCACTGACGTTTCCTAAAAACACCACTGCATCTAATGTGTTTAGTATATGTGATGAAATTGTAAATTCTACGTACCTTGTATGTGAGTGTCTAATATAATTTAGCATTATTCATAACATAAACTTCAATATAATAATCATAATCATGTACACCTTGATGTTTTCCGTCAATTAATCCAGTCCCTTTATCTAATGATACACCAGGTTTAACTTGAAAATGTTGAAGATAACAACCAAAAGCAGGTGTACAATAACAATGACAAGATCCTCGGGATGAATTTTGATACTTCTCTTTACATTCTTTACGAGTCTAAAATAAAACATTGAAGACGTGCTGTTAGTTTTAATAACAATGATTTTGGACTTTTTAAAACATTCGTTAAAATTTGCTCACGAGTTTCGACTCAAGATTTTCAACTCATATTTTTTTAAAACGTTATTATTATTGTGTTCTGCACGTTTGGGATTCAACCGAAAGTGCACTACAACAAGTTTGAAAAGGGTTAAGAATGCATTCTACGTGTATCACAAAAAGTAGGTATAGTCAGAATTCCAAATTTTGAAAGGAATAGAATGGACAATTTTAATACGATATATCCGTTTCTGTGCCATTCGATTGAGGCCAGAATTTGAACAAGACAAACCAGTACCAGTCGAATGCCACCACAATTAGAAGCAAATACTATTTGATAGGATAGTGACCAAAGGTAAGTCAAAGTATAAAATACGATTACTAGGCGCAGATACAGATTTGAATCAAGCTGGCAAATTTTGAAATATGTACTAAGGCAAGTCAATGTGTATAATATAATTCAATGAAGTCTAGTCTAGCTGACCTATTTTTAATAACCAACCTGTGCTTCGCCTTGTTCTGGTATATGTTGTGAACCCTGTAATATAACATCACCAGTAAAATTATCATAAAGTTTCCACTCCACTGTTTCTAATCCACTGTGTAGATCATAAGCTATCCATTCTATTCTGTTGATAAGCAGAATTCAGAATACATGTATTATACCTGAATCTGTGATAATGTTTTAGAAATATGTCTCATGTATTTTCTACCATATTTATATGGTGCTTACTATAAATACGGTCACATGAATGATGCACCATTTATGATAAAGAGTGATTATGATGTGTTTCTTCGCTTTAAGAGAGGAATGTTCTTAGCGTGAGACTCAATTCCAAGAAATAACAGTTAGGTTCACTAAGCTGTCAAGATAATTCAAATATTACTTACACAAGTTTATCGAAATCTTGAAATCCATGTACAGCTAAATCTACTTTATCTCCTTTAGTTAACCATAGATCTTTTATAACAGGTGGAGACATATCAAAATAAACTGTGGTGGATTCTTCCAGGTAGAAATCTACTATATCATAAGCTCTTATATAAAATTTAACAGTGTCGCCATCTTGTAATGTAGGAGAAATTGTTATAGATTGGTTCAGATTACCAGTAGTAGTAAAATCAGTATCTGTTGGTTGAATGGTAGAACCTCCTTGGTCATCTATCCCATAATGTTTCATAACGTACTATTCCTACAAATATTAAAATGCAGTCATACATATAAATCATTACCTCCCAAATCGGCATTTAAAATATTATGCTAGCGTCTTTCTAAATAACCGTTTGTACTGATTAGCCAAATCAATGGTTTTACTATAAATTTCCGTATAATACATACATTATTTATGTCACTAACCATCTTTATATACAGGTGTTTTTATCTGTTTTGTCATTCTTATATTTTGATCTATTGTGTCATTTTTTATCTATTGTGTTCATACCTTTATAGTTTTGAATTAAGACGTCATAATTTTATCGTATTCAGGTGCTATATAGCCTGTTTTGGCTGATTCACCTAAATGCATTTCAATTCAAAAAGATACAATTCACTCTTGAAAATTAGTAACTGTCTGATTTAACGAAGTAAAAAGTAAAGCATAGTTTGATTAATACCTTGAACATTATCAATGTGTTTCGTTGTTCTTATTCCATAATGATCATCATATTCTGGATCTAGACCATGATAATCCTGGATTCCAGCTAGATATTTACCATTATGGTGTTTAGTATTAATATATCTATTTTCCCAGTCAATAGTAACAGGACCATGATTTTGTTGCCAAAGGTAGTTAGTAGAAGGTGATGCTGACCTGGTTTTTAAATTAGTATTATGAACAGTTGATACCTCACTGTTATCATCGAATATCAAACATCGTCTAGCAAGTCTAATATTACCAGCTTTATCTACTGCAGCAAGTATAACAGAATATACACCTGGTATTGTTAAATTAAATTGTTGGCTCTTCTGTTAATAAAAAGAAAAAATATGGATTTAATGATCTAATAAATTTTCTATTCGTAATATTCATAGAATATAGACATAATCCTTGTAAGACATTTTGTATCACAGCACGCTAAGAAACAACTGTTATTTCTTAATAAGGACATAGGTAAAGAGCCAATATATATAGATGTAATACTTCCAAATATGATAGCGAGCCGCGGTGGCTCAGTGCCGCTGTCCTTGCATAATTTCCCTCATTGTAGCCTGCATGACGTTGCCCAGATTCATTAGCCCATATGGTACAGAAAAGTAGGATGTACAAATCCATTCATTTAATTTCATTTCCAAATATGATAGATACTAGAAAGAATAGTACGTCACTGCTGTCATATTAAGGATAAGGTTATGGAGGATAAAATTACATGTATACATGATCAATTATTATACCTACCAATGTAGTTTCCGTGTCGAATATTCGTTTGTCTATAATTAGTTCATTTCCTACCGACTTCATGCTGAATATTTCTAATTCATATTTAGCTATACCAGAATCTTCGCCAATCCAACCGTCCCAATAAACCGTATTTTCTACCTATAAAAAATAAATATCGAACAAATATTTTCTGAATTTCTATATGGATGCTGATCAGATGTGTGTAGGCTACGTTTAAACTGCAGCCAACCTACACGATTTGAGATATTCACTTCATTAATGTAGATACAACAAAATATCTAATCAAGGAAATGGTTGTCTATATATTTGATTACAATCTGACCAATTTCATCATTATCACTTTTTAGACAAAATTTCAACGTCGCTATTTCTATTTGTACTCGGTTGTAACATTTCAGTATATTGTTAGTAATATATCAACATTGAGGAAATTATCATTGCAGATGATGTCGCACGTGATGTAACACAGTTACTGCTTTTTTTTGCTCAACTTTGCCTCCACCCACCCGTTTATCGTCAGTTCAATATAATAATAATTTGTGGTTTCTCTGTTCACCTTCTTAGTTATGTCAATATCAGTTAACATGGTAAGTTTACAATTGTCGACAGGTTGACAATGGTACGGTGGTACATTGTCAAATTTAATCTCAAATGCACGTGACATTGAGTTTGGTGTGTAGTAGTAGGTGTTGTAGACATTTCTTTCTAAATTTTTTATCTTCACAAATCCTCCAATAGTTGTTGTTATTTTGAAAGACAGTCTGAAAAAAATGTTAAGAAAGCCACGTTTAAATTTTTTGCTAATATTATAAGTCAGTATTCAATGGTTACGGTGTGGGGTACTAGCACTGTTGGCGTGCTGAGGATATGATTTACGCGAGCGATTCTTAACATTAGTTTACATAAATTACTTAATGTCAGACGTTTCTTGTTGTTGTCAAATTTTAAAAAAAAATATTTCGATATAAGTGAGTATTTTTCTCCTTAGCTACATAATAGCTGCAGAACATTAGAAACAAAGGCAAAAAAATGTCTGACCAGACATTGATTAACGGAATTGTCTTGTTTTATTCATACAAGGTAAGTGATCACTTACTGTTCTAGATGTTGGAAGGGAACCGGGAATGTACGTTTTATGGTTTTAGTACAATCCAATAAACCTTGATTAGGATTATCTTTCCTGATGGTGGTACAACTGACGGTCTGTGTTTTGACTCCATTTCGGCCATCTGCAGTATAAAATTAATTAATTAATGTTCGCGTAAGTCTATCATGGAACTCGGATCTCTTTCCTTCAAGCCCACGTCATAATCTCATGGCGAATGAAAATAAGTATATATATACAATTTGAAACTAAAACCTACACTTTGTGAACCTTATACTTCCTTCAATAATACCAACTTTATAATCCACGACAAATGGTGGACGTTTAGGATTTGGTTTATATTAGTTTGATTGAAAAGAGTAATATAGATCTTTGGGTTTCATTATATTGGTCCATGTTGTTGGTTGTGGAGAACCAGCTCCAAAATCACCAGGAGCATCAACAGTTTCACCATTATAAGCAGTTAATGTCACTTGATTGTATAGAATATCAGGTATAGCAGTAACTAAAACGAGAATAAATAACCTCAATATAAAATTATAAAAATAAGCGAGTCAGAAAATGAATGCCAAATTAGTATTACTAAATTTACAAAACAAACATTAACTGTTGGCAAGGTGATAGATAAATGTAAGATTCCACTTCAAAAAAGTTTAGGTGCTGTTTAATATCACAATAATAATAATCATTATACACACACTCACTTCTATTGCAATGGGTTCCACTAAATCCAACAGAACAATAACAATTTGAAAACAGCTCATCTCGACATGTACCAGGATAACATCTACTGTCTGGTCTCCATGAACACGACTCTATAAATAAAATAAGATAAAACCCTAACATTGTATTAAATATCTATGAATGGGGTTGTCAAGTGTACATCTATTGCATCATAAATCTTAAGATTAAAATATACTGAAGGACTCTTGAACCTGACATTGTAAAACCAACATGAGACTTTGACATGCCGTTTTCAAATAGGTTAAATGTCAATTCTAGATTGTAAGAATTACTTGCTTGCTTGGTATCACTACAATGTGAAAACATACTACAAATTATTCGATGTCATTTTTGCAGCGCTATGAAAACCAACAAATTACTCACTATTACACGTTCTTTTATTACCGGACAACTTACTTTTACAAAATCGTTTATCCGTCGATATGATATAAGCTCGATACCACGAAATATCTGCTACCAATCCTTCACATCTCCGACATCTCTGGTCACTTTTAGTTGTACGATATTCTAGATCACAATTTTTAATAGGTGAACAGACTGAAATATATCATTAGTTTTAGTTGTACAATATTCCAGTTATTGATGGGTGAACAGACTGAAATATATCATTGGTTTAGTTGTACAATATTCCAGATCACAGTTATTAACAGCAGAACAGACTGAAATAAAATAGCAGTTATAATTGTACAATGTTCCACGGCATGACCTTGTTATCTTTGTATTAATTGTATCCCGCACCGGAGCAATCCTATACGAAACTACTTTTCGTTAAGCGAAGTTTTGTAATCATACGAAACTGCATATGGTTCTTACATAGAAATAACACACACAACCATTTTGAATCACTTACTCGACCTAATAAATCGAATTTTTAAAATGGCTATAATATTTCAACAAAGTTTTCAAATCACATTAAAGCTATTTCTGTACCTTTAAATGTGATTTGAAGGCTTAATTGAAATATCATATCCTTTATATTTGCGATGTTTCAATCTTGAAATACATTGATAATAGATAAATGATTTGAAGTTGATTAAGATTTCTTCATTAATTACATTTTATAACGAAACGCCCTGTAGCTGCTAACAGTGTATTGACAATTTGTATTTTGCGTTTCAGATCGTTGCTTCTTATGTTTTTCAAATCCATTCATGGGCAATACTCATCACATTTATGGTTGAATGTTTATTATACTTTTGTAGATTTTAACTTGCGTTTTAAGAATTTCGGATTCATTAAACAGATATAGAACAAATAATTATTACTTACTATTACAAAATGAACCAGCTGAATAAAACCCTTCCTGTTTACATTCATATACATTAGGTCGAATACATTTTCCCACACTATTCTTTACTGTGGTTTTATCAGGCAGAACAATGTGGGAGTTGGGAAAATTTTCATTACAGGCTCTTGAATCAGACCTTCCTCTACAAATTGCTGACATGAAGACAATAATAAACAGTAATCATGTCAATTCTTGAATGGCATTGGCATTTTATTTTTAATTGACAGGACGCTGGAAATTCATTGTATTCTGTCGTCAGAACAAAATGAATGACACAAAATTATTTGACGGAAGGGAAAAATTTGAATTGTTCATCAGGACATTTTAAGTCATTTTCGGTTCGGATATTTTTTTAATAATTTTAACCCATTTTCTCATTTCAAATCACGCGAAACAATGCTTGTAACATTAATTAAACCTCTTAATCGTTTGTAACACAAACGACCATTACAAATCATTAAGGTATTGTTACCTTTGTTACAACTTGTACCCGTCCAACCAATACAACATTTTTTTTCAGTATAATATACCGTCCTGCATAATAAATTGAAATACAATGTACAGTATTAATTATACAACCTTGTATTCAATTATGGTGGCTCACATACGACATATTTTACTTCTTATTTCTAATTAAAAACTTTATTTCCAGAAAATTGAATTAACATCTTTTTAACGCCATTCTTTACAAGATGGAGGCTGGTCATATGGACTTCTCATGTAGGTGAAAACGAAAGTTTTTATTTCAAAATAAAAAGTGAAATATGTCGTCGTAAATTGTCTGTATTTTAAAGATCATTTCATAAACGTATTTGCAATTTTTCTATTCGAAATTTCTTTACACGTAGTTAACGAAATAGCAATGAATTTTGTCTCCGACCGAAAGGTTAATATTATACCTATTTTGCTTGTGTAGTTTAATTTGAAACCTTGAAATAATACCGAAAGCATTTTTTCAAAATTCAAAAATTCGTAAATGCGTTGCGCACTTATTTTCCTTTTTTAATTCCTTCGGGTCTTTTTAAAAACAAGTCTGTTTATGACTGAAAATTCAGGTGTAGCACGTCTATTTTAAATTTACATTTACTTTAATAAAAGGTCCTAATATTGTGGTCTCTTTTTGCGAGAGTGTTGTTAAAATTTTGGCGAGTAAAGGGCAACAACCCGATTAATCAATTTACATAGATAAAAGAACCTCAAGTCATATAGGACCGACTCCAGTAATTAATATATGCTGATGATTGTATACGAATGTAGTCCGTGCTATTTTTAGACATCCTCTTGTCCTAATTTTGACTAATTTTTGGACTAGATTTGGAATTTGATGTCTGAAATTGCATTTTCTTTCAGATTTTGTGAGATAACGAGAGATTTATAAGCGCAGACAATAAGTATTGGTCAGGCTTTCACTCGACATATTTGAAAGTTTTCGAATACAGTAAAAGAAAACTGTACTTTACCGTGTTTTGGTGCATCTAAACCAATTAAAAAGCTTCCAACAACGTGTCGTGTATGTTTCTTGTCTCTGCCTCCGTATTTTAAGTTTTTTTTGTCGTGTTCAGGTGCTATATTTTGGAGCTGTGCACCTTAATTTCAATTCATTTACATCACACTGGGCTAAAATGGATCACTGCCTGCTGCGTTTGTCCCGCCAGACAACCAAAAGTATATCTCCAGGACTGAAGAATGGTCAATGCCCGCCAGACATGCCCAAAGGTTGACCCACCCAGTGATATAGACAAATTGAGCTTGATAGAACATACAAAGCTAATGATTGAATATGCTTTTGAATGAAATTAGACATTCCACAGAGGAATTGATGAGTCTCATTTCGGGGATGCGGATGCAGGAGGGGGGGGGGGGGGGAGTGGGGCGGCGGCAGACGTGCAGTCTAATATAATATATTATTATTAATATATTATTATATTCTGATGAAACCCTGTATGTCCAAATTGTTAATTTTTCAGGAGAGCAAAAAAACTTTCCCATATTTCATGAAGCAACAAGAAACATCCCAAAATCTAGTAGTATATTGTTTTTTGTCTTCTGATATGATTTAAGCAAAAGAATTAATGTTTGGTCCGATTCTGACAAAATTAGATGACATACGAGGATTGTTTATCAGAATTCTGTGAGTTACGAGCTTTTTTGTTCATTTTACCAATAGCTTTTAAATTGAAATACCTTTATTAAAAAAAAACAGGTTAACAAAACATAATAACATAAATTATGTATGCCATGATTATGGATGGACGGAATCCTATTTGGAATCAAACTAATAACAATCAAAAAACAAAACAAAATTGGCAGGCTAGATTAATTAATTACGTTCTGACACATTAAAATAGAGTTACTAATGTATCAGCGTCAATTATTGCTCAAGAGAATCATAGAAATTATGGTAATCTTTAGGTAAAACCTCCTTCAATTCCTGTAAGTGTTTATATTTCGATGATTTAATCTTTAACTTGGACGAATATAAAGCCTTTAGTTTTCCACCTGGTATGATACTGGTCCGTCTAGGTACAGGAAGTTCTGCATAAGAATCAGTATACTTTATCTTGTACTGAATAGGTTCTTCTGAAGTGTATTTCAGACAGCGAAGATTTGATACCGTGGGATCTCCAATACGATTTCCAGGTCGTATTGATTTCATGGTTCCAACCTCGCTGAAATCCTGAAAGAACGTATGGTCGACATATTTGACCTCATATGGACGAGGATTCTTTCTGGCTGTACGAATAAGTTCAATATCATTGGCTGGACAATAAATATTGGTGTGTTTTAATTTTCTCTCGATAACTGAATGACCACTATCAACCTCCATCTGTGTGTGTCCACGTTCAAGAAACTTCTGTACTACCATTTTCTTATAAATGTTTGCAAAATATTGCAGTGTGTTTGACAATGTGACGTTTCTATTCTGATATCCACAGCCATCACTATAGATGACAATTATATCAAAGCCTAATGCATTCTCTACCAAATAATCAAAAATGCACGATGAAAATTCATTTGCAGTCAAGGAACCCTCCCCTTCATGCCAAACATAGCATTTTACATCATTTGTCACTAAATTGAAAAATGTAAAATTATGTACTGCTAATTTAGTTTTATAGTATAAAGCTGATGCTTGTAACTTTGGTGACAGCAAAACAGCCTGCAAATCCATAGTGATAACAAGCATTTTATCACCTTCACTTCCATTCCATGCCAAAGCTTTATCCTTTGATTTTTCTAATCTGGCTGTTTCTTTGTTCTGCCTGTGAGTAATCCAAATATCGTCAGCTACATTACCAGCATCGTACGCAACACATAAGACACATCGGTCTTTTCGTGGATGAAATATAGACAGATTCATCAGTTCAAACTCCATCTTCAGAATTTGGCGATTTTTTATTATGAAGATTGCATTTTTCAATATAAAGATTGTATAAGTCCGCCATGGATTTGATATGTGGTTCTAAATATCGTTTAGAGCTTTCTGAACGGCAGTAGTGAGATGGTAATTTTGGTAATTTCTCCAGAAATTCGTTTTTTAAGAAACAACTTGTCATCTTCCCTACGTTTATAGTGATCATTGTTTGGTGTTTTTCTTTTATGTTTTTCTTTGAGATTTGATTTCGATGTTGATGCATCATTACCAGTTGTTAACCAATTTCTTACACTCCATTCTCCAATATCCAGAGTTGATAAAAACATCTGTTTACAAACAGGTTTTCTTATAAAAGAATGTTTCAGATGATATTGAAAGGTAAAAGATCTTCTTGAAGTAGCAGCTTTTGTTCTTTTCTGTACAGGCTAAATCTTGTCCACCATAGAGTTGATGAAAATATGTCGCTGGTCCCAACTCATATGACCCCAAAATTCCTCTGTTATCGATTTTCTCATTTCCTCTGTGAACTCGACACATTTCCTATTCCCAGACAATGTACAGTTACAGCGTGGTTTTAGGCTCCTGGCATCTTTAAGTGTTTCACCATCTTTTGTTTTCCCAAAGTACTGCAAACCTTTCTCTCTTCGGCTTTGATTTAGATTTTGTTTCCATTTTGTGTAACCAGCCTTCCCCTTTTTGGCTTTTTTGGACGGATTTAGCTGAACTGTATCATCATCAAAAGCAGTATCATCTTCAAGGGTGTAGTCAGAATCACTAACTTGGTGTCCAGATTCCAATGATTTGTCAGGTGAAGAGGTATGATGCATTTCAGCCTTTGTAATCATTTCATCAATGACATTTTGAATAGTTGATGATTCTGGATTGTTGACATCGTTAACAGGAGAGGTAAGAATATCATGGAAAGTTGGAGCGTTGTCAATATCGTGTAAAGGATAGTTGATGATATCATGCAAAGGAGTGTTGACAATACTATGCGCTGGATTGTTGACAATATTGTGGACGGGAGGTGTATTTAAATTATCATGAGTGTTGAAAATACTTTGAGCAGGTGAGTTGATAAAATCATGGGCAGGAGTGTTGACAATACTTTGAGCAGGTGAGTTGATAAAATCATGGGCAGGAGTGTTAACAATACTTTGAGCGGGCGAGTTGATAATATCATGGGCAGGAGTGTTGACATTATTTTGGGTAGGCGAGTTGATAATATCATAGGCAGGAGTGTTGACAATATCGTAGATAGAATTATTGGCAATATCATGTACAGAGAATAGTTCTAGGTTTCTAGAATTGTTATCAGGATTTATTTCTGATGGTGCTCCTTCAGACAAAAATTAAGGGAATGAGTTTGGTGATTGTCTAGGAGCGTTTATTTCTAATGGATTCGTATTTATTTTGTCAACGGTTTTACAGCCATTTGTAATTAGTACACTAGACATGATTAAATTTGCTGTATCACTAATTTCACTTTTGGAGTTACTCTTTTCAAGACTCATCTGTAAAAGCTTTTTTCCTCTAGACATCATTTTGAATCTGAAATCAAAATGCTATGTTGAAACCTTGTATGTCAAAACTTAATTTTTCTCCCAAAATACCAAGTTTAACTATATTCAAAAACTACAATAGGTTTTTCTTAAAAATATTTTTTAATATTTTTCACATTTATTTAAAAATATTCGAGAAACAGCTGTATAATTTATCAAGATTTCAATGTGTTGTGATAAAACCTCCTGTCTCTAACACAATTTTTAGCGAATGCTTTTTTTTACACTTTTTCAGACAAATTTGAATACATTTTCACAGAAATGTTAATTCAAATGATGCTATACAACGTTATTAATTGATAAGAAATCATTCAGAAAAAATTTAATGAAAGCTACTTACATTAAGGAAGATTTTGCAGAAGTTAATTTCAAGTTATCAAAACATGTGACATACGAGGTCTCATTAGAACATTTTGAGGTGAATTATATTTAGATGTTTTGTATGTAAGGTAATAAATGAAATTTGATTGGTTATTGCTGTACAAGGTTTTAATATAAGATGCCCCTTTGAAAATGCTATATTATGATACCAATAAGTCAATTTTAAAAATTTTTGACTTACTAGGTTTCATCAGAACACCGACAATATTCAAATTATATTAAAAGACTCATACTTCAGAAGCCACGACCTGCACTAACCAATGCAGTTTATGTTTTAAGGGATCTAACCTTTGGAATAGCCTACCTTCAAATCTTCAAGTTTTGACCAATCTCAAAACATTTTATAAAAATATTTCAGTGTACATCTCAAAAATTAAAGGGAGCCGCTTGCTCACTGACCTGAAGGTCACCGGCATAGGTCGAGACCAGCATTATGATAGTTTACCTTCATATGAAGAAATCATTCGTTTCATAGGCGTACTGTGTTTTTCGGCGGATTTTCTTAACTTATGTAACTTAGGGTCCAAACACAGCAGGGGGTCCCCGGCAGACGCCCGAGTCATTATATGCCCTACTTCCATTTTATAACCAAATCTGTCTTGAACATATAGGCTAAGTTTTTTTTTACTCAAAGTTTCTTAACACTTTTTAATTATATCCAATCAATTTAACAAGTTTCATTGCAGAAACATTAGAGAACATCTCTCCCCCTTTTGTGAAAGCTTTCCCCCCTCCCCTCTTTCCTCCCTCTTTTTCTCACTTTCTTTTTTTTTCTTTTTTTTTCAGGTCTTCGAGTTTTCCAACAGATAACAGATAATCTAACCAAACCATTCGACTACCAATCAACAAGAAATACCATGATCAGATCGAGTTTGGAAGAATGAAGGAGACCGAGTAACTCACGCCACACCATCCAGGGTCGAGTTTCACCGCAGTCTAATATATTCAAATTATATTAAAAGACTCACACTTCAGAAGCCACGATCTACACTAACCAATGCAGTTTATGTTTTAAGGGATCTAAACTTTGGAATAGCCTACCTTCAAATCTTCAAGTTTTGAACAATCTCAAAACATTTTATAAAAATATTTCAGTGTACATCTCAAAAATTAAAGGGAGCCGCTTGCGCACTGACCTGAAGGTCACCGGCATAGGTCGAGATAAAAAACTTCGAGTTTTTTAACCCGGTTTCTCCCTGTCAGTGAGGGGCTGACATGAAAAAGGCGTCTAGTCGTTTGGATGGGACAATAAACCGTTAGTTGAATATTTATATGTTTCAACATAGCCGAAGATTGTTTGAGACGTGGCCTCTCAAATAAATATATATTTTTACTAGCATACAATAAAAAATGTTTTTTCGTAATACTGGAAATAAAAGTCCCAATATTCGAAACAGAAATAAAGTATTAGAATAAGGAAGAGGACCCACACATTATATGGGATAGGGACAATTCGTCCCAAGGACGACCCCGGACCAATGTGAAGACAACTCGAACAACTTTTTGTAAACGCTCACATTGTGGAGCGTATATTGGCGTCACCCACAATTGCTGGTGAACATTCACAATTTTTAAAATTTTTAATAAACACCCAAGGACGGACCCTTTTGAAAATCAAAAACTATTTAATCTAAATTATTTCCCTTGTTCCTGACTTGAAAACGCGTTCAACTATTAGCCCGTAAACACTCGACAAGGATTTTGACTAAACCGTGTGAAATTGTTTATTAGCCCTATAGAAAATCAAAAATAGGCTATTGAAAAATATCTTATTATTATTTTTATTAATTTGTTATTGCCTTTATTCTCGAAAACGCATTTCAGTTTTATCTTGTAAACAATTTAGAAGGCACAATTATTAATGGATTTTGACAAAACTTGATGAAAACCTTATCTAAAATCAGACATTTGTAATTTGAATGAGAAAAGCTTGAAGCTTTTAGTTTCGGCTGTTAAAACAGTTTCAATCCCAGTTTTTAATAAGGTATTATAATTGAAGTCCCAGTGTATTATCGAAATGCCTATTCTATTTTTTTTTTTGTTTTTTTTGTTTTTGACTGCAGTACTTTCCTAGACCTTCTGTAACGTGTTGCATAAATATATTTTGAAACATTTTTGCAAAACCGGAAGTGCCACAGTTCAACATGTGCAAAAAGTAGAAAATCGGCTCTAAAATTTGCATTTTTCGGTCGATTTTCTCCGGTTTTCATTTCTAGAATCTACCTGTAATTCCTGAGAAGATATCACTTAAACCAAATTCGGAAGTCGAATATTTGTAGCACACTTTTTTCGGCCGAATTTTGCAACTTTTTTGCTTTTTGTCTGATAAGTCTAAAAAAAAAATGAGCAACGACAGTTTAAGAATATAAACAAAATTGTATAGTCAAATTTTTTACTTTACTTCCGGTTTAAACGGGAAATCGATCCTCACTTCCGGTTGAACTACTACCGGTCTAATTAATTTAGCGCGACTAAACTTTTAAATATCGATAGCCAACGTTGTGACAAAAAAACGAAGAAGATAAAATCCGGTCCGAACTTGATACTTTGGTCGCCATTTTGATTTTTCTGAAATGCGTCGATTTTTATTCAGAAAATACGGCTTATCCGAGTTTGATGAAGAAAAAAATTAAAAGAAACTTTTGCTTCAGCTTTTTTGCTATTTTCGGTTGAATTTTGAAGTTTGAAGGCTCATATCTCATGACCTTTGATGACCTTGACCTTCATTGGGTCAAAGGCCATTGGGCTTGGCTATCAGCTGATATTCCGGTTTTATAGCTGTCCAAAACAGTCAAATTCGCAAATTTGGACTGGACTAGCACGTGACCTAATTAACCTAGAGGGTTAATTTTTTCGGATTCTTAATGTGCTCTCCATGCTTTTTCCAATGATATATAACAAAAGTTTTTTTAAAGCAAAATTGAAATTCGTACTTTTTTTTACAATATGTGTGTCTCTTTGAGCCTAATGTAATTATATCTTATAATCTATTTGATGTAGAACCTTCATATTTGGAATACAACTAGACACTTTGAATATGAATTCACCTATGATAAAAAAAAAATATGTGGGCGTGGCACATCCGGGTTGAATTACTAATGTTTACATTTAAAGGAAGGGGCATAACACGCATAGGATGCGTTTGTTCAAAAAGGGGCTTTGCACACAATTATTTCATCCTTTTGGCCAGTTTGTGTTAACAGCTCAGTTGTTTCAGCTTTATAGTTCCAAAAAACCTTTGACCTTTGTTGACCTATATCTTTTGACCTGTATGATGTAGAAGCTTGAAATTTGGAACACAACATCACATTTTGAATATCAATTAAATTATGCAAAAGAAATTGAGGTGGACGTGGTACATCCGGGTAAAATTACTCATTATTCACATTTTTGGCAAGGGATATAACTCGCAAAGTGTACATTTGTTCGAAATGGAACTTTGCACACAATTACCTCATGTTTTGAGCCACTTTGTCTTAGAAGTACGGTTGTTTCCGCTTCATATTTAAAAAACGGGAACAGGTTTTGGAAATTCAAAATTTTTTCAATTTTTGACCTTGACCTTCGTTGACCTTGACCTTTGTAGGATCAAACGTCATTGGCATTGGCTATTTATTTATTCTTTTATATTTGCTGTCCTATGTCAACTTCCGGTTTTATAGCCGTGTGCAATTTGAAATTTTGATGACTTATATCTCTTGATCTTGACCTTTTTAGACCTCCTTTACAAGATCAAAGGTCATTGACCTTGTCTATCAGCTGATACTCTCATTTGTATGGTCTGGCATGTACTTCCGGTATTAGAATCTTGTAAATAATGACAATTTCTCAACTTTAAACTGCTCTTGCACTTAACCTAATTGTCGTCGAAGGTTGATTTTTTCAGGGCTCTTGGCAAATTGCTATATTTGCAAAGTCCCACTCTGTGCCACGTGTGGCTCTAGTTTTTACTTGCTTTCTGCAAATGTTCCCTTTCATTTGAGTGTCTAAGACTGAGATATTGCATGATTTTAAATAGATGACACACCTTATGCTAAGCAACAAATATAATCAACGTGCCTGGATGCTCTGGTTTGTACTCCACCTAAGTTATTTTTTAGTATTGCAACTGGAAAGTTAACTTACCTTAAAACCATTGGAATCAACAAAATTCCTACAAACAGTCCATATTGTAACACAGAGGTAATCTTTATTTTAAGACATTAACCATTAAGGTGCAGATATTCCTGTCTACCTGTTAAAGTCTTTTGACGAAGTGATCATTTATCACTGAATTGAAGTGTACACACCCACATGAAGAGATTCTATTCATAAACACAACCAGGAGGTTTTCAAAAAGAATGCGTAAGCCTCATTGGATACACTTGAAACTTTGCCAAAACTCTTTAAAAATAGGAAAATGAACTGACATTATGTTATAGGTTAATTTTATAGCCGAAAGAAGACATTGATCTTTACACAAAATATACCTTAATGTGTTTTAATGTTCAAACCATGTCACGACATCTGATGTAAAGAGCTTTGTGTCAAGATTGTCATTAAACATGTGTTAAGACATAAACGATTTATAACGGACCTGAGATTGTAAATAAAGGAGATAAATATTTTGTATTTCATATTTGTATGATATCATGACGATTAGTCTCCGGGTGTGACCTTCAACGTTTTTAGACAGACATTGAAATGATCAGAAAAAAATACTGTATAATACATACAGAAACGTGTAAAATGGGTGAACAAATGAAAATTAGTGTCAACCGGCAAATTGCATCGATTTCGCTGCAATGCAATGTTTCATGGCCTCTGACTACAACTGACGGACTTCAATGTAAAAAAAACTTGCAAAAATTAAAAAATATGTCATATTCCTTTGATTTTATAAAAAATGAAAAAAAAGTCTATCGAAAATTGTTCCAAAATGCACCTACAAGGACCAATTTTTATACACTTTTTAATGTTGCACTTTCGGTTTCACAAAAAATGTTTCAATTTTACATTCATTTGTGAGAAAGACACAATCGACTAGTGCAATGCTGCACCTTATTATAATCAGCCGTGGGACATTTGGAAAACAACATTTCGAAAACGGAAATATATTTACTCTTTCTAAATGATCATGAAATTGAGTGAGGTTGGGTCACCCGCAAAAACACCACTAAAACTGGTTTTTTCGAATTCCAAAGTTTTTTTTCTGTTTGTTGGTATCGAAATTATCCATCTTAAACACACTTATGCATTTGTGTATATTTGTTCAAAGTTTTATACTTACTAGTTACTATTTTCCTTTTTCAAGACTCTTATTCGGTTTCATCAATGTAATTTGTTTGTTAAATTTTGTGTTTCGTTGTCCATAAGGGGTTGGCTATCGATGAGTATCGGGATTTGACCTAAAAGCTCAGTTGTGTTGCCTATCTCTGTGTCGTTTTTAAATGAAGATTTTGTTATTATCAATATCATTAAACATTACATTATAAAGTGCGAAACGTTTTTTTTTAAATAGAAAACATGTGTAAGGTAAGAAAGGTTGCTGAGCACAAAACGTCCCCATTCTCAACGAAGGTAACGAAAATACTCGAGTGAACAAAGCTATAATAAATAAATAGATAAATGAATCACATGTCGGCGGCATGTCAGCTGTGCCGGACTGCATTGCCGACAGGGGAGAGGGGTAATAGTAAGGTTTAGCGACTGATGTGTCAATACTGTGCCCCACATATCGAAATAACAGAGCAAGATAGAGTTCGCTGAGCTAACCCGACTCAAGTGTTGACTTGTATCTGATTGTAAATTGTATGATACGGGTACATCCGAAACATAGTTATAAGATCAATATAATTCACCTTCTAAATGCCCTAACATAGTTACCATAGTGCAGATTATTCCCTGGCTACGACACCGAAAAGAGCTTATGAGAGGTCGGCGTTTTACATTAATTCAACTTTGATAACATGCATTTATGAAAAAACAAATCAAATATGTATTATCATATAATTTTATTATCAAATTTGTGTGTCTTCATCTTCAATCGAAGACATGCACAAACACTTTATTTTCCCCTTATAAATACCTTTGCATAGCAAATTTTATTTCCTGGATACGTCAATGAATGGAGCATTTGGGAGGTCGGCGTTTCGACGATAATTCAAGTTTGATAGAATGCGTTTATGTAAAGAGTATAAAGAATGCAATCCGACATGCATTGAGACCATGCAAATAGATAACGTTTTCGCTTTTGGCGGGGGCTAGGTCATGTCAACAGATTAAATATTCCAATGAAAATCCCAATTCGTCATAAGGCTAAGTTGATGTTTCTCACTTTGTTTACAATTTTCACCTCTCAATGTCGTTTGTTTTGTATTTAACTTTGGTTTCATACAATTCATATTGATAATAAGTTTCAAAGCGTCGAAAGATACTCCCATTAAAAGACAAAAAACATTTATAAACTGTGAAAAAACATGACTTCAAGTGACATGTAAAGAGTTTTCAATTTCAAAGCTTGATTGAAGACTTCTTTCCTCTCCCTAAAAATTTCCTTTCCAAAATACCAACTCCCTAGGAATGCAGAAACACTAATCATGGCCGAAGATAATTGTACTTTTAGAAAACGGCATCTCTGTGAAACGACAACCTTGAACAGAGCCTCGGAATACTGAAATAAGGAACCTTCTTCAGATTTCAACCGATTATAATCTCGGTATGTTAGTACAAATGACGACGTCTCGCTTTCTCCGACTGCTCCAATAGGTCATTTTCAATCTTGATATCTGCGAATTGACTCTGGATGAAAGAAAAAAATACATATATCGTATGCGTTTAGATAGCAAATCTTTAGCCAATATAACTATTATATATGAGCCGTATAAATCGGTACGATTTTACAATTCTGTGTCAATGGTATAGCATTAATCAAGTTGAAAATTCATATTTCAAAAACAGAAAGGCGAACATGGAAAATGCAGTCACCGACATAATCTCCACTCACATGTAAATCTAAAAAGAAATAACATGGTGCGCTTTACTTTAATTCACAATTAAACTCGACAAAGTTGGGTGGCTAAAGGCTAACGATAGATGTGGTCACATAAATCCATGTTGAAAAATAAAATATTTATTTATTGTTTCGTTTCATCATACATAATAATAACATTCCAACTTTTTATTGCAGCCAGCGCCAAGAAAACGTGTTATCCAATTATCGAATATCAAGACTCAAAATGACCTGTCGGAGCAGTCGGAAAACCCGAGACGCCGTAGCAATGATGTCTGGGCAACTATAGTAACGCTGACTTGAATTCTACATATTTTGATATAGGAATAGGCGTATCTCCTCAGTTCTTGACAATTGAAAATAGCTCCTTCAGTTTTCCGCAAATTTACGAATTCAATTATATTTATACTAAAAAAACAATTGTAAATGTATGGTGGCAAACGCGCTCTAGTAGCTGGTAAAGGCGGTATATTGGGTATACAAATTTCATTATACGTAATGAAATGGAATGATATATAAACGTTTATATAAAGACAAATTAGGACAGGCTACTAATATGTTAAAAGCACATTATACTTAAGGGGGCATGGTATTAAAAAATGTTACAGTTACCGATAACATAAACCGTCTATGATATACATAAAGAAAAGAATATGTGGATTTAAAATGCTACTGTAAGGAGGCATTACTCGATATAGTTCTATAACGGTGGCGCGAGTTATCTAATATTTACAATACAATGATTTTCCGAATAGTAGTAAATAAACCACAAGGATCCACTGCAGTAAGAGTAAGATATAGTTGTTTATATTTCCTATGTTTAGGTAATGTCAAACGGATTCTGTCATTTCTTGTTTCTTGCCACTGTATAACATCTCCACTGCCTTGTTTGGTACCCAAACTAACTTCAAAGATTAAAGCTTTCCAGTTTGATACAAATATATCTATCCAGAATATTATTAATGTTAGACCATCTAATGTCTTGGCTATTTTGATATCTCTGTCTTCTGAAATAACAAAAGCAATTGTAATTCACCCAGACAGTTTGGACAATTTTATATCTCTGTTGTTCAAGAAAAAATTCGGTAACTAGGAAATTATCTCGTCAAGATATAAGTATAAGAAAAAGAAGAATCAGAATTCATAAAAATCTATCAATATGCATGTACCCATGACGGGGTGTAACTAGAAAATGTGTGAGGGTGAGGAGTGGGGGGGGGGGGGGCAAATATATATGGCCCTATAGTCCTTCCCTAAATATGATGCTACTGTACTGAGTCCATGAAATACACCTCACATAAATCCATAAGGAAAAATTACAAGCAGCCAAAGAGTATCACAATAGTTATCCATCTGCACGTTGCAAATATACAAAATGGTTTTCGGACATAAAACGATTCCTACCTTTAACACTGGGTGGTTGATAACCAGTAGAGAAAGTCTGATTTATATAATTATTCAATCTGCCCAGTAAAATACCAGAAATATTCACCATATAGTTTGTCTCTGGTTTCAGTTTTAATCCTTGTAATTTAACACCATCATAGTTAATACCAGTTTCATCCATCTCTTTCTCTAGTTTATAATCATCAGTAGAGAGTCCAACCTATAAAACAATACAATAATCATCTATCTCTTTCTCTAGTTTATAATCATCAGTAGAGAGTCCAACCTATAAAACAATACAATAATCATCTATCTCTTTCTCGAGTTTATAATCATCAGTAGATAGTCCAACCTATAAAACAATAAACATCTATCTCTTTCTCTAGTTTATAATCATCAGTGGATAGCATATTATGTCCGATGGGGGTATCCGGCTCTGACTAATTTACTCTAACTTACCATAACTGATGTAGACTGATAGCTGTTAGAACCAAACTGCCAGCGAATACCAAGTGAATGATGTAGTGTAAGACAATATTGTGATAGTTGATATTGGGTTGTGGTCTGTGGTAAAAGGGTTATCTGCCCACTACTAGTAATAAGTTTATTAGAATCAATGAGTTGAACACCATCAGTTGTAACTGTTACTTGTAGACCAACTTTATTATAACATCTAATAGTAGAATAAACTTTTATAGGTTCTCTGTCAATATATTCTTTACTAGCTTTATTCTCATCTTTCTGTATTCTTGTAAACTTCTGTATATCATTTCCTCCTCTCACAGACCCTAAAATAGTTCCAAATTTCAAAACTATTTTTTAATCAAAAGCTAACACTATTTTTGGACAGAACACGAACTTAAGACATCCCCGATTAACTGGAAATATATATTTTTTTATGATGTAGTGAACGAAAAAAATTCGAGAACCTATGAAAAGGGAACACTTCTGCTGTAAATATAGAGGTTGGTGGTTGAAGAGCAACGGATGGTGTAATTGTAGCGGCTGCTATCTTATCGCCGTCCGTAAGAAAATGTGAAAAAATATCCTTATTTAGACCTTAATACAAATTAAAAACAAAAAATAGTGCACAACATTTTTTCCTTTACAAAGATGAGCAATCATAATTCAGATGATATAATTTTATATATACAATTCACTTCATACTTGAGATGCTTTGCTTACCTATAGCCCAGAGACAATAGTCAAGGCCAGATTCTGGATCTTCAATTTGCCAATTAACAGCTATACCATTACTGGTCTGGTAATCAACATCCCGACCTAAATAACAGATAATATGGTTCTTACTTGTCCCGCCATATATATAACAACAGGAAATGAAATGAAATGTATTAAGGAGCATCGGCACCAAACGGGCTATATAGCTCCATAATACGTTAATATAATACAAAAACTAAAACAATAAAACACCTATCAATATCACATAAAAGTCACATAGTGACAACAAAAAAGACGATAAAAACCATATCACAGAAAAAGTCATTTAATGACTACAAAAAAACACTAAAAACAATAGTCACAGGTAATACACCACATGGTGGTATTAAAAACAAACAAAATATTTAAAACAAACAATGACTAATCCATCTAAAATTTAAAATAAAGAGAAGGTTGCGCAAAAAGCTGAAATAAAGAAACAGCACGGTAGTGCTGTGATCTTATAGGTTTGAGATGCTTACACTCAATCAGAATGTGTTTCACTGTCAGGCAGATCTGGCAGTGCTCACAGACTGGTTGAGGCTCTCGCTTGAGCAAATAACAGTTGGTGAGGTGAGTATGTCCAAGACGAGAGCGACACAAAACAACTTCATTTCTCCTGTTGGCACAGTAGGAGGAGGGCCAGTCTCCTAGGAGAGGCTTAATGGCATGAAGCTTGTTAGTGTCTGCAGCATCCCATCTTAGCTGCCATCGATGTTGAATAAAAGACCTTATCATCGATTTAAAATCGGTGAAAGGCAAAGAAAAGGGGGAAACAGGCAGTGACAAAGCAGCCTTAGCCGCCGCATCTGCCATGCCATTCCCCCGTATATTCATGTGACTGGGGAGCCAACAAAGGACAATGTCCTTTTTCGGCCCAGATAGCTTGTATATATCCCCGATTATTGGGTGTACAAGCTGGATGTTATTAATAGCTTGTAATGAGGACAAAGAATCAGAAAATATAATACATTTTTTTTAATGATGTAGAGGACTGAAAAAACTCAAGTGCCTGTAAAATGGCAATTAGTTCTGCAGTAAATATTGAGGCTGCTGGTGGAAGAGCTACAGATAGAACTTCGGATTGTGTAACTGTAGCGGCTGCTACCTTATCACCATCCTTAGACCCATCTGTATAGAAAGGAGCAAAATCCCCATATTTAGATCTTAGTTCAAGAAATTTAGACTTGAAGACAACAGAGCTTGTCTATGACTTCTTGTTGCTCGATAGACTAAAGTCTATTTGGAGTGGAGCAATTGACTAAGGTGGAATAGTGGTCATGGCAAAGTCCGCAATACAGTCGTGGCTTATACCAGCCGCTGACATAAGGGGTTGAATGCGGACTCCAAAAGAAGAAACAGCACGAGGCTTTGCCTCGTACAGGTGTTCAAAGTAAGGTCTAAATACGGGGCAGTAAGCAGGATGTTGTGGCAATAATGCTATCTTGATAGCGTACTGCAATGAAAGCCTGTCACGTCTCGACGTACAGACTTTCAACTGGAGTAGTGCGAAACGCACCTAACTGATTCTAAGTCCTTGATGGTGTATGGTATCAAGCTCTTTGATATAGGATTGACGAGCCGAACCATACACCTGACACCCATAATCGAGCTTGGAACGAACCAAAGCTCGATATAATCGGAGGAGGACCTTTCGGTGGGCTCCCCAGTCAGTATTGGATAAGACTCTCAGTATGTTGAGAGCTTTCAGACATTTGTTCTTGAGGATTTTAATATGGGGACGAAAAGAAAGCTTGCTATCAAAAGTAAGTCCCAAAAATTTAAATTCCCGCACAACAGAAATGATAGCACCATCCAGCTTTAGTTCTGGATCAAGGTGCAATCCTCTTCGTTTACAAAAATGCATGCAGGCGGTCTTGGATTTCGAAAACCTAAATCCATTGTCAGTTGCCCATTGCTGTAAGTTGTTTAAGCAAAGCTGCAACTGACGCTCAATCGTCTGCATGTTTGTAGAGCCATAACACATCTGAAAGTCATCAACATACAGAGAGCCATCAACCCCCCGTCTAAGGCACGACGTGATGGAATTAATTTTAATAGAGAACAGGGTAACGGATAATATGCTACCCTGTGGAACTCCATTATCCTGAGGAAAAGGATCTGAAAAAATGGAGCTAAGTCGAACCTTAAACGTCCTATCATGTAGGAAATTGGAGATGAATAATGGCAATCTTCCTCTGAGACCGAAGTCAAAGAGATCACGAAGAATGCCATATCTCCAAGTGGTGTCATAAGCCTTCTCCAAATCAAAGAATATGGCTACAAGATGTTTATTTTGGATGAAGGCATCCCTGACAAACGATTCAAATCTAACGAGATGATCAAGAGTGCTCCTTTGGGACCGAAATCCACATTGGAGGTTGGTAAGAAGATTGTTTGACTCAAGGTGCCAAAGGAGCCTTTGATTGATCATTCGTTCCATGGTTTTACATATGCAGCTGGTTAATGCAATAGGGCGGTAATTAGTAGGATTCGTAGGATCTTTACCAGGTTTAGGAATGGATACAATGGTAGCGATCCTCCAAGATGGAGGAAATACACCGTCATCCCAAATCTGGTTGAATATACATAAAAGTTTTTTTAATGTTGGGTAAGGGAGATGCTTTGAGGATCTGATAATATATATCATCAGGCCCAGTAGCTGTATCATGAGCCTGTTTCAAAGAAAACTTTAATTCCGAGATCGTAAATTTATCATTATAATATTCCTCGTTTTTTGATGCAAAATTAAGTCTTTTCCTCTCTTCCCGGAGTTTCACTCTCCGAAAAGCATCCGAGGAAAAGTTAGAGGAAGAATTATAAGAAAAATTATGGCCTAAGGAATTCGCAATATCTGGAAGAGTAGTGAGAGTTGAACCATCTACCTCTAAATGGTTCACAGATATTGTATCCGCTTTACCCTTGATCCTACGGATCCTATCCCAGACTGATTTGGAAGACGTGCGACTGTTGATCCTTGAAACATACTCCTGCCATGACGACCTCTTTGCTTGGCGGATAGTCCGCCTGGCTTTCGCCCGTGCAATGCGGAAAGAGGCCATGTTGTCAGCGGTAGGAGAACGTTCAATCAGTCGCAGAGCACGATTACGTTCTTTCAGTGCTGTCTTACAGTCTTCGTTAAACCATGGTTTATTGAATCGTTTTGGAGTTGCCGAGGTTTTACGAATCGCCTGACCCAATACATCTTGAAAGATAGTGGTAAATAATTCCATCGGGTCTTCTGCCTCATCTAGATCATCTTGAGAAAAAGAATAAATGCAAAGAGCCTCAAAGAGAGGCCAATTAGCTTTGGAGAGTTTCCATCTTTGTGGCCTGTCTACTGGTGAAGGACCATTATTCCGTAGAATTACAGGATAATGATCACTGTGGCAGAGATCGTCGTGGACACTCCAAGAAAAATCTTGGAACAAAGATGGGGAGCTAATTGTCAGATCTAGATGAGAAAAAGGTTTTTGAGCAGAAATACGTAGGCGGTTCGTCATTAAAGATGCAAAGATCATTGTCATAAATGAAGTCAGCTATTAATTTTCCTCTGTTATTATCATCGGAGCTACCCCAGAAAGAATGGTGACCATTGAAATCTCCTAACAAAATGTAAGGAGAAGGAAGCTGGGCAACAAGGTCATCCAATTCTCTCAGGTTCAATGATAAGCTAGGTGGTAAGTAGATGGAACAAATGGTAATAGGCACGTGGAGTGTAACTCGCACGGCTATTACCTGCAGAGGAGAATTGAGTGTGATTTCGGTGGTAGGAAACAAAATGTTTAAATGGCACTAAACGCAAATCCGTTGGCTTGAGAAAAGTCTCTTGGAGACAAATAGCCAACGGATTGTATTGTTGCATTAATAGCTGAACTTCATTAGGATTATGACTTAAACCTCGACAATTCTATTGTGTTATATTATTTTGTTGATGCATTGTCAGGGTGGTTTGACTGGACTACGAGGTTTGCGGTAAGGAGGGTTGAGAACTTCCGCATCAACCTCGGAAGCCTCCATATCTATACTATCAGATATGGCAGACTTCAAAAGATCTCTACCTCCCTTTTTGGAGGCGGATCCATGTTTCTTGGTTATCTTGTCATTTTTGGAAAGACTTTCACTACGTTTAGCTTGTCTTGACTGTTTACCAGTCGGTTGAACGTCTTTAGCTGGCTGACTTGCATTACTATCACCATCTCTTGACTTCTCAATTTGGGGAGTCTGAGTAGCTGATGATGTAGATGCAGTTGCCTCCGGATCAGATGGTATCAAGGCTAAAGACGCAGATGGTAAACGCTTAAGCCATGAGATGTCGGTTTGGCATTCTATGGATCTAGTAGAAGCCTTGACAACACTAGCGAAAGTCCTTCCAGAAGGAGTAGAGGGAACTTCTCCCTCTACAGCCTTCCGCGCTTCGGGGTAGGAAACTCTGGTTTCAACTTTAATTGTTTGGATGCGCTTTTCCAGTTTCCACTTAGGGCAGTCTTTGGAAAAAGCGACATGGTTTCCATCACAGTTACAACAGCAAGGAGTATCACTACAATCCTTGCTGTCATGCCCAGACTTGCCACAACGCGCACATCGCAACGAACTTTTGCAAGTCCGAGTTCCATGCCCGAAGCGCTGACAGTTATAACACCTGAGAGGGTTAGGAATAAAAGGTGACACTTTAATATTTAGATAACCTACTTTTATT